ATCGCACTATTCTCATATTTCTATTTTTGAATAGATATGCAGTATATATTGCAAATAAAATGGGTGAGATTGGAGATCCCTGTGGTACTCCTATTTTTATCTCAGTCTTGTCTTGTTTCATTCCATCAAAGAAGAGTTGTATAATTCTTTTAGACATAAAACAGTTAACCCATTTTATTAGAGAAAGTGGCAGTTTTAATATCTTCAATGTCTGAATTAACTTTGACTTTGAAACATGATCAAATGCTTCCTTTATATCAATAAAAACTGCAGTTGAGACCAGACCCTCATGCTTTGCTATTTGAATATCATGAACAACTGAGAGAACAGTGTCAATTGCAGAACACTGTTTTCTACCTCTCATTTGTTCACTGAATAAAAGAGAATCATCTATAGAGCTTATAAAAGATAGTCAAGTAGCTATTATCTTTTCTAAAACCTTTCCTAAACAGTTCAATAGAGATATTACTCTATATGACTTAGGAATTGAAGTTTTTCTATTAGGTTTTGCAAGAATCACTCCAGTGGCTTCTCTCCAGCATTCAGGATGATATCCATTTTTCAAGAGATTGAAAAAGAGCTCAAAATATTCATTCTTTAAGTAGGAATATGTATTTTGAATAATCAAGTGATTAATTGAATCAGGACCTGCAGCAGTTTTAACAGAACTTGAGAAGATAGCTGACTCTAATTCATCTTGTGTAAGATCAGGTCATTCCCAGTCATTTTCATCAATGTAGTTGAGAAGTGATATATTCTCTTCCTCTGAATCTGAGTCTGAGTCTGATGAGTTCTGAAAGAGAATTCTCATGAAAGCTTGACATTTTTCCTCAAAAGAGTTTGCTGTATATGATTCATTCTGAAACTCATATTCTAAGGCTGAAAGTTTTGCTACACTTCTTGTTTTAGTATAGTTAAAAGCTTTAAAAATTTCCTTCCCTTGTGCTTCTTCAAGAAATTTATTCCAGCAGTCTGTTTTAGCTCTTTTGATATCTGAAAAATATTCATTTCTGACAGCTTTGAACTCTTCATCAGATATTACATCATTTTTCCAATCTCTTCTAGCAGTAGCTAATTCTTTCCTTTTAGATGAGATATTCTCATTCCACCAAGGTTTTGAATACTCAGAAGATTTTCTTTTTGGAATATTATCTCTAACACTTGTTAGAATAATAGATGTAATAAGCTTCACTCTATTCTCAAGCATTTCATTTGAGATATCTTGACCAGAATTCCAATATAGCTCATTCTGTCTTTCAGATTTTAGCAGTTTTATGCTTTCTTCAACTGCTTTCCAATCAGCTTTTTCAAAGTTATACTGATTAGAGAGAAGAGGATTTTCACTCATTTGTTTTTCACTCAGTTCAATATCAAATTGAATAATCTCATGACCTGATTCTGATGTCTCATTTGAATCAATAAACCAGTTTACAAGTCTTCTTTCCATTAGATTTTGTGACATGAAGGTTAGATCTATAATAGACTTCTGTTTCATGCCTTTTCTAAAGAATGTTTGTTGATCAGACTTATTAACCAAATCTATTGAATGCTCAAAGGTCCATTCAATCAGATTATCAGCTCTCACTGCTCTCTTGCATTCTGAATTCCATCAGGGATGATGTGCATTGAAATCTCCTGCAATTATAGAGTTTCTTGATGGAGTTATGTTCAGAAATCCTCTATCAATTGTCCAGATATTGTTATTTTTCTTCAATGACTTTTCATTATAGATATTTATGAGCTGTATAGTATCAAACTCATTTTCTTTATCTATAATATCACCCACCAGAATATCAGGGTCAGACATGATATCAAATCTTAGATTAAATTGATATCTTGATCTCTTTCTTCCATAGATCACTACTCTTGACTTTATCTCAGACTTTTGAGGTAAAAAGCAGTAGTAGCTTGAATGAGAAATAACATATTTTTGCTCAGCATCAAAATTCGGCTCCTGAAGCAGTATAAAATCAACTTTTTGTTCAAATGCAATTTGAAGACAAGAATAAATACAATTTGAGTTTCTATTCACATTATTTTGAATAAATGTGATTTTTGAAGAGTTTTTAAACTTTTTTTGTTGTTTTTGTTGTATATTCATACTAAAAGAGAGTAGAGTAGAATCTAATCACTATCATCAGATAGTAGATTATAACTGTTCTGAAAAGTAGGAATCTCAACTGCTTGCATTATATCTAGTTTATCATCAGAGTCATTTCTCAATTCTCTAATCTTAACAGGAGTTTGAGGATTCAAGTTCTGTTTACATTTAGCTGGAGAGTTGGAGTTTGAAGACTTAGATAGTTGAGAGTTTCTTCTTTTTGAGCTTGCAGTTGTGAGTTTACTGGCTTGACTCTTCTCTTCAGTTCTAGATTGACTTTGAGCTTCATCTTTTCTCCAGTTCTTTTGAGTTCTAGGAGTAAACATACATTCTTTTGAGCTAGATGCATGTTTTTCTTTGCAATTAGAGCACTTAAGCAGAGTGTGTTGACAAATTTCACCTCTTTTTGAGCATGTTTCACATTTATGCTCACTAGTTTTGTGATCTCTGGCACAGAATGCACATTTTGAGTCTCTAAAACATGAGATTGCAAAGTGTTCATATCTTTGACAGTTTGAACACTGTGTTTGAGCTTTGAGGTTCATCCTTGAGTCTTTGTATTCATGAACTCTCATTTTCAAACCTGCTACTCTTACTTCAGAGATCTTTGACTGTTCAAGTGTTTTTGTATATACTAGAACAGAGGCATTTCTCCTGCTTTGTCTGAACTCAATTGAATTTAGTCATACAGGCTCCTTTCTCAGTTGAATAGAGTTGTATTCTTTCAATTCATTTTTGAGAAGTAGCATTCCTTCTTCACAGTCAAAAATTTCAACTGGAATATCATGAAGAATGAATTTGTCCCACTTTTCATCTCTTTCAGATAGAATTGTTGTGTTTAACAAAGATTCTACTGCTGACTTCCAGAGATTCTCATTCTGAATAAGGAATTCAGCACTGAATTCAGGCATTGTAGTCAGAATGATGGAGTTTCCAAAGAATGATGGTTCAATTGAAGCTATAACTGGTTTTTGAACTTCAATATCAGTCATTAACTGAGAAAAGAACTGCTGGTTAATTTCATTTCTGATTCTGAAAATGAGATTTGAGTTTAGCTTGTTTCTTTGCAGAATGTCCTGATTTGAGACTTTGAGAATAAGTCTTCTATTTCTGGAGATTTGAAAGTTTTTCTCTTTTTGCATTTTCTTTTCCACTTTTCTATGAATAGAGGCATGAGCAGTATTCTTCTCAGTTTTCTCAGAATTTTGAGCAGGTTTTGAGACAGTAGGTTTAGAGACAGCAGGTTTAGAGACAGCAGATTCAGCTGCTTGAGCATATGTTTTCTTCTGATTCAAAGAAGGAGAAGAAGAAGAAGTAGAAAAGAAAGAAGAGCAAACTGAAGAGTCAGTGATTGTATTAGAAATTTTCAAAGTTTTTTGAACTGTGTTTGAAATTCCAAGTTTGAACTTGATCACTTCCTGTAGTTGTCTAGCCTGAGCATGAAGAATTAACAGAACTTCTTCATTCATCTCACTCAGACACTGCTTTCCAAGAATTTTACTTGCTTTTTCAAGTTCCTGTATTTCAAGAACTTGTTGTTTCTCTATCTCTTCTTTCTTTCTTCTCTTCAGAATTTCAATCTCAGGAATAGCATTTGAGAAAGCATCTTTTTCCACATCAACTGAGTGTACTTTTGAACTCATTGTTCTTACTCAATGAAAAGTTGGTCAGACTAATTCAATTGAGATATTTATTAAACTCTTTTGAATTGAAAAGTTGATCAGACTGTTTCAATTAAGAGGTTTCTAAGTCTGTTTTCAATTGAAAAGTTGATCAGACTATTTCAAAAGAAGAATCGCAGACTTTTGTGTATAAAACACCTGATTTTTTTCACACTAGTTCAGTAACTAGGTTAGATTTTTGAAGAGAATCTAATAAACTAAAATTGATTTTTAAGATAAATCAATAAAATCTTTACAATCTCTTTCTTGGGATACAGTGAGGAAAAGTATGATATCAATTGATAGTAAATCAGATAATATGACAGTTTTTGAGAGAAAAACTGACAAAAAATAAATCAATTTTTTGAAGAGAAATTGATTAAAACTATTCAATTTTATTCTAAATTATCCAATTCTCCTCGCACAACAGGTGTGCAACTCAAATCAGTTAATAAAGAGTGTAAAAAAGAATTAAGTATTAATAAAAGCTCTTCAGCCACTGAAAAAGTAATTCTTACTTAAAAGAATATGAAATTATGACAGAAAACAACTCTGTTTTTAATTCTTTGTAAGAATATTGTGTAAAACCCAGAGAAAAACACCTTACTTTTTTAAGAGAAGTAAAAAACTATTTCTAAAATCTTTTTTTTGCATTAACTGCTGCAGAAGAATGAGATAGAAACTGCTAAGATATGCACTACTGTATACCCCCTATCAAGACTTTCCCTCTTCAGAGTCTTGATATTATAGAGAATATAAGTCTGTTTCTATATGATAATATAAATATTGCCAGCGGGATGTAGAGGAACTGGTTATTTATATCTCAAAATAGAAGACTTTGTCAATGATTATATCAATATAGAGTTAATTCTCAAATTCAATAGAAACCTAGTGTTGCTGTTCTCAATCCCTTGCAGAATCTATTGAATATTGAGGTATTAAAACTAGATTTAATATATCTCACTGTGCAGGGATCAAAGGCTCAGTCAGACCTTGGGGTATACTGATTTTATAGTTGTCGTGTCTGCCGATTATGTATTGAGTACAGTTGCTGAGGTATCTTTTTGTACTTTTCTGTCGGGGATGGGCCAGATTGAGAGGGGTGGTACGAGGGCGAGACTTGGCGTTGATGTTCAGATACACTGAAGACAGACCGCGGAGGTTGCACTTCAGAAGTGGCTGTTGGTTATGTGCTTGATATTATCGCCGAGGTATCTTTTTGTATTTTTCTGCCGGGGATGGGCCAGATTAGGAAGGGCGGTACAACGGTGGGACTTGGCGTTGGTGTTTTGGAACATCAAAGATGGACAGGGTTTTCGCGGAGGTCGCTCCTCAGATATCTCCACAACTACAGATCGGGGATCTTCCAAAATCGAGAAGATTGGTGCATATGGCTAGGTCTCTTCACCTTACAATTTGTATGGCACTTTGGCCCGGGGTTGTGGTGTGGTAGGGGAGAACGGGGGATACTCCCACACAGGAGTTTTGAACAACGTCCGGTTCACGTTTGGCTGGATAACTCCACCACCACACAGGGTATGCGGTCGGCGATGGGGTCAGAATGCTCGTATGATCGAGGGCTTTTCGATGGATCTATCGGCGGGTTCTTATTCGAAAAATCGAGCGAGTTCGTGGTGGAGCGGTCGTCTGATATAGAGGTTGTGTAAGAGTAGTGACTAGCAGATAGAGAAAAAGTGTAAGAAAAGAGATGATGAATTGATTATCAACTGTAAGAATCAGCTGCAAAAGACAAATGTTATCATACACACTTCATCCATTTTTATACATTACATATTTAATCTATTTTCAATGTCACACCACTCAAAAAACATCAAAAACAAAGGAAATCTCAAAACTTGAGATCTGCAAGAGATTCAAGAGTTATAAGCTGCTCTTGCAACAATGCTGTGCATACTGCTGATTTCTCTACTGCTCTGCATATGACATTAATGTCATTGATTACAAGATTGGCTGGAATGCCAATATAGAAATGTGCATGTGTATGTGTAGAGAAATTGAAGAAGAGTGCAGAACCTGCAGAACCAGGAGCCAGGGCAGAGAAAGTGAAGATGAAAGAAACAGAAGAAGAAGAAGGCACAGAACTAGATGAATAATAAGAGTTATCTGAGACTGAATGCTTATGATTCAGTGTGCACATGACCTTTCTCACAGAGAAGGGAGAAGAAGTAACAGAAGAAGCTTGAGAGTGAGAGAAGGTAGTCTCAGCAGTGTTGTCATCTTCAATTAAAATGACCTCTGGCACTGGAGTAACTAAGAACTATTATTAGTGTATGAAACTGCAAAAACAGAGGTAACAATTACTGAATGAACACCTGCTGACCTTAGAATTGTACATGCAATTACAACATACATGAGGCTCCTCAGAAAGAGAGAGAGGAACACAGAGAAATGCAGAAAGCAGAACACAGTGTGCGAACAGCTCATTCTTATAATGACATCTCAGACAAGGTGTACAAGCCTCACACCTGTGAGTGTAAAAGAGTATGACATCTGCATTTCTGTTTCTGAAAACACAGATATCTTTTACCTGCATCATGAAGTCAGACAACAGATGTCAGAGAATAGGCTGATATGAATCTATCATCTCAAAGAAATTTGTCAGAGTAGATGTCTCTGCAATATTAAACTTTACAGTTATAAAAAGTTTCTTAATGTCTATGAACATCACAACTTTGTGCACAGCAAAACTCATAACAATTTTCTCTAAGAACAGAAAAATCAGTGTCAGAAAGAAAAGATGAAAAAGAAAAAGACTTACAATCTCAACACTGTTGAGAGAGAAGATGATTCTCTGATATGAATAAATAATTATCTCATTATAAATATTTAAAATGAATGTAATAATCAGCATCTGTGACTGAGCTTCAGATAGTCATATTGTACACAGTCTTTATATAATAAATCATTCTAGAGATTGACAAGAAGAGCAGAAGCATACATGCTGAGAAATGTGATTCACTGAGTCTACACAACATCTCCTTGAAACAGGGAGAGCTGGTAAGAAAGACAGAGACAGTAAAATCAGAAGTAGTGAGAGTAGAGGTCACAGGAACAGGAGTAGCAGAAGCAGAGGAATCAGACACAGAGACAAGTGTAGAAGATTGAGAGAGAGCAGCAGAGAAAGAAGCAGCAGAAGAGACAGAGAGAGACACTGAAGATCTGATCACACATAATATGAGTAATTTCTTCATTATCACATTCTTTAAGTTCTCAATCAATGATTTAACACTGAGTTCACTATCATCAGCAGACACAGATCTGTCAACATATGAAGATTCTACATGAATAAAAACAAACATCAGCATCTGTGTCTATACAAAATTATATCAGAAAACATGATCAGAAACTCACTGAGAAGAAGAAACAGTTGAGAGTGTATGAGAAGATGAAGAAGATGTGTCATTATTCATAGTAATATATTGTTCTAGTGATTATTAGAAGATAAACAAGTCCTGATCACATTTCATAATGTATTATACTTACTGCTAACAAACTGCTCAGTATGAGCACTACAATAATGCTTATTATGGAAACAGGAAGTCATTGTCAGAAATGTGTACAATGTGATAGATGAACAGATGAAAAGAGTTGAACAGAAGAAGGAGTAGAAATCTTGAATGAGATAGTGATGTTTGATGATGATGATGATGAAGATGATGATTGAAGAATGAGAAAAGTTAGTGAATGAGTGATGTAATATAGTGGAAGTTTCTTTGTGAGGGTGTACACGGGATGCTAGCCGAATCAGAGATAGATTACACAATTATGAAACACTAGTGGCGAGCTAATCCACATGAAGCTAGGGTGTACAACATGGTCACGTGGGCATGACTGAATCTGGTGAGAGAGGATGTGATTCGGAAGAATGTATGACTGTCGGATAATAACGCGGCCGCTTCCAAACTACTAGCATACGTGTGTAAAGGAGCCATAGCGTACGCTAATTAATTTAGCGTACAAGATTATAATATAAGAAGCCGGCGTACGCCTGTAATCATATGCTGGCTTAAGCAACCTTTGAATCACAATTTCATGTTTATGAAAATGAATATTACTCTAAGTCTGTGAGATTTATCTTTTTATCAGTCATTTATAATGACTTCACTTTTCTGTGTAGAAATATGACAGATCTTAAGACTTATTGAAATTCTGTTAACTGTCTATCTGTGAGTTTATATTCAATCTGATAATATAATCACATCTGACTTAATCAGCTGATTACAGCATTATTTTTTCAGTTATTATTAAAGCTTGATAACTTCAGCAGATCTCTCAGCTTGATGTATTTCATACTCAGATTCTCATTCTATGCAGCAGTCTCTGATAATGTGTATACTTCTGAAGAGATTGTAAATAATTATGATAAGATCTTCAGATTCAGTATAGTTATCTATCTATGTAAATGTTCAATCTTCTACTGCAGGTCTAAGATCTGATTTTCTCTATTCTTATTGATAATAATAATTGCATCAGTGAAGCTCTTCATAGTGAATACTTGATTTACAGTGAATGTCAATTATTGTTTAACTTCTGTCTCAGCCTGTCACTGTGTATACAAGGCCTCAATTTCATTTAGAATTCTTATACATGTACAGAGCTTCAATTTCAGTTCAGCTGTCTCAGCTGCTTTTCTTACTGCTTTAAGTAATCTCTCTGAGAGGTTCTGCATATCTTTCAGTTCAGATAGCAGAGAAGAGTGTTATTCATATCAGCTAGAAAAGATATTCATTTCAGTGATTTCTTATTAATTGTATAATGTCTATTGTTATATCACTGTATTATTATATCACTATATCATTATATTGCTATATCACTGTTATTATCATACAACTTCAGTGATAATCACTTTCTTCTTTTTATTCTTCTTTTGAATAGAGAGTGAACTTTTTTGAATCTGATTCATCACTCTTATTTCTTTTCTCACATCTCATCTGTTTGCCTATGTGGCATTTACCTGAGCATGGAGTTTTCCCTTAACAAGTGAAGCAGTATCAATCAGATACTCTTTCACTCACTACTCTTTGTATACTATCTTTTGAGATGTTCTAGAACCACACTGGCATGATAATTACAAATTACTTCATAGGCAGAATTATCACATTCTGGAGAAGCCTGCGCTTCTCACCGGTTTTTAGACATGCTATCAGATATGATTCAAAGGTTGCTTAAGTCAGTGTATGATTACAGATGTACACTGACTTCTTATATATTGAATCTTGTACACTAAATTAATTAGTGGCCGCTAGAGCCTTCTTTACATTCATACGCTAGTAGTTCAGAAGCGGCCGCGTTATTATCCGATGATTGTATGTTCTTCCGAATCACAAAAGAATAATAATAATAATAATAATAGCAGTTATTAACTCAGTGTTCTATATAACTGTATCAGATGCAGAAGTCTTCATGCTGATACTTTCAGTATTCAGTATCTGTAATATCTAAGTTCTTATTAGTACTGTGAGAGAACCTGTCAGAGAAGTGTGAATATACTTAGTCAGCTGCACTCTCACAGTTGCATATGTCTTATATATCATATATTAAATTGAATCTGACTTGTTTGTTATTGTAGTTATTATTGAAGATTATTTATTTAAACATGATAATATAACTTTCAGCTGTGATAGCAGCTTTTTTTCAATCAGTGAAAGTGATAGGTCAGACATTAAAATAAGCTTGATTGATTTATTATAGAATTAATATGATTAACTTGATATGAAATATAAAGCAAATAACTGAGTTATTTTAACAGAGGTCTGCTATCAATATCTCAAAGTCAGTAATGAAATCAATTACATGTTAATTATACTGCATTTATAGAGAATTTATATATAATTCTGTAGTAAGAGCTGCATTGATTTCACAGTAATTATCACACAGTCAGACTTTGAGAATTTCTCAGATAACAATATGTATATCATTATCAATTTACATGTATTGAATGTGTTAACAGATTTTGAGAGCTAAGTAGCTGATTATAAAGACTATTTTAGAGATATCTGCAGTAATAAGATATTCTCTGATATTATTATTTATATTAAGTAGTTAAAAGTATATATCTGTAAATTCATTAAACATGTCAGATTCTTGCAATTTAATCTTAATTGAATGAGATTAAGAGTTTAGCAGAGAGAATCTGCTAGTAGAGTATTTATTCAGAGTATCTAAATATTGAATAAAACAGATGTTTTCTTCTACTATTACACAGTTTTACTCAGTCAGTTGATTGACTTAGTTAATGAGGCTTTGTATTTCGCGGGTGAGTGTCATAATAATAGAGTGAAAATTTTCATGATTTTATAGCTGTAAGACTGTGACTGATATTATAGAGAAGAAGAATCAGTATGTTAAAACTTAATTACATGAATATCAGAGTGACAGTAGCTTTATATTAGAATGTAATATTACTGATTCTTGAAGAAGAAAACTAGATAGTAGAGAAGTAGAAAATGAGTATAAGATACTGCGGCTTCTGTGAGTTATATAATATGTATATAAGCATACTCTAAGCTCTAGATCTTACAACTAATCCGGTATGACACTAATCTACTTTTGATACAAGTTATATACTCAGAGCAATTCTCATTAGAAAGTCTGAGAAGAAATAATTTCATCTTCAATGAAGATTTCTTAGATTTATAAGAATTTTTCAGATTCTTTAACTTTGACTTTCTATTACTATATACTCACATATCTTTGAGATTTGAAAATCACCTTAGCTTATAACTAAAGAGAAGAAGAATAGAAATATTTCTTTAATATTTTAAAAAAATCTATATTTAAGATAGATGTATACTCTTGAAAATAATCATATTTTTTAATCTCAGAATTTCTAAGAGCTTTTTTTTATATGAGAAATTGAATTAAAATTCCTGTGTTCAAAAACACACTAGTCAACTTTGAGATGATACTTCTATTCTAAGAACTTGAGATATGAATATAAAAATCAGATACATCATGAGAATATTATTATTCTAAGGTTTTAAGATGATATAGAAATGATGAATCTATGAAGTTAAGTTGAAATTCTCTTTCATACTCAGAGTACTGAGTAAATTCTTTCTATGTTGCTAATAATCAGAAACTGTTTCTTCTCAGACACTTTGCAAGATATCATCACTCACATGACCTGATTTTACTATTTGGGTTAGCTTATTGCTTATTTGAGATTAGCTCATGACATAATCATCAATCCAGTGTTAAAACAGCAATGGATAGATATCTGGAGAAGCGTCTGAGCTTGCTGAGATAAGTGGGTACCTAGGTAACCTTGGAAGCTCACAAATATCACGTGAATTAGCTAGTTACGGGGCCGATTATATCATCGATGCCCAAAATCGGCGGAATGCCGAAGCATTCCGCCATTGGCGTGGAGGAACGACGGAAGACTTCAATTGAGCTTGCGATACGAAATATCATCAATCAGCAGCTAGTACAACACGCCGCCAAGATGAATATACCGTCCTCTTCCCTCCATACTCCATTCCGTCGCTCCGCGATCCCATGCATCCGTCAAACACAACGGTCAACCCGCATACCGTTCCGCCATTCCCAGCAACAGCAGCGTCGCCATGTATCCGCAGGGGGCCCAAGCCCCGTGGCACGGTTTACCGTGAACCCCCAACGCAGAGCTGGCGCTCAGGACCCCACGAACCCTGTCCAACGATATCACCGCAGCATTGCCCTATGTGCTGCGGGCATTGTCGCCTCTGCAATTGGCATGTATGCTATCATTAATACATCAGGATTGGAGAAGAATGCTCAGAGCGATAAAAAGGACGGACAATCGTCATCTTCATCAGATAGAGGCTATGACAGAGGCAAGATTATCAAACTTGAAGGTCCACCCGGCCTAGGAGACAACCAAACAACGACAATAATCGACGGCATAGAGCAAATTCCCACGGAGAATTCCACAATTCCTACTTTCCCCAAAACCATCAGACTCCCTGTCGATGCCCCTCAGGCCCTGCCCTCGGGTGGACGAGCAGGCGATGATTTCCCTCCTAACACCAAGACGGAAGAATACACCTTACTCGGCCTAGGCATCCGCTCCGTCTCCTTCCTCAGCATCCAAGTCTACGTCGTGGGTCTCTACATCGCCAACTCAGACATCGCAGCTCTACAACAGCATCTCATCAAACAAGCCGCGACGCCCGTAACTTCCTCTGCAGTCAATGGAAACGCCGTGGTGGCCACTTCACTCGTTCCCGGCGAGCGGGAGGCGCTAAAACAGATGCTATTAGACCCGGAGCAGGGACAGGAGGTCTGGAACGACATCCTCAGAGACACCGGGGTCCGCACCGCGCTACGCATTGTGCCTACGAGAAATACGGATTTACTACATCTGAGGGATGGATGGGTACGTGCAATCACGGCGCAGGCGCAGAGTGCAAATGCACGGGCGCAGGATGTTGCAGCGAAGCAAGGCTCGGCGATACCAGCCGGTGCGGTGGTGACTTCTGAGTTTGAGGATGATAGCTTTGGTACCTCGCTTAATGACTTTAAGTCGCTGTTTGGTGGCGGGGCAAGGAAGAATGTGCCCAAAGGCCAGATTCTGTATCTGCTTCGGAATAAAGTTGGGGGCCTGGAGACGATGCTCGATCCTGAGAATGGGAAGCCGATGGTTTGGCTGGGCTCGATGCAGGATGAGCGGGTAAGCCGGTTGTTGTGGATGGCGTATCTGGCCGGGAAGAAAGTGGCTAGCGAGGGGGCAAGGAATAGTGTGGTTGATGGTGTCATGGGGATTGTAGGGAGGCCGGTCGGGACTGTCGAGCAAAGGGTTGCATGATGGATGGTATGATTAAGTGCGAGCTGTAACAATAGTAGATTTGTTTGTGCTATTCCTGTCTACTATTATGTAGATTTGGATTAAAATTCGGCATTCCTTGCCAAAAAAAATTTTGGTTAAGAACAGTGTATTATAGTTATTTCTTGTTGATATTTTTTGAACCTCTGTACCACTGTAAAAATTAGACGATCTTTGCTAGCTAGATGCAATTACTATTCTACTTATCTGCAGAATGCCTATTGAGATTTGTCTTATCTCTTTTCATTAATTACAGTCATAGCAGCTCAAGGTATTTACAAAAACCAGAGCAAAAACAAATCCCCGAATTAACTGAGTTCCATATCAAAACGTAAAAGCTAGCAAGGACAAAAAAAAAAAGAAAAGAAAAGAAAACCATCCAGCCGCCTACCATCAATCTATACGGCCCCCTGGAAACCACGCATTATCCACCTACTCTACAGCGGCATTTCTCTCTCTACCTTCGAAGAAAATCACGCCTTGGAAGCTTTGGCAGCGGCCCCAGCGCTCACGAGAGCCGACAATTCACTCTTGCGGGCCTGGATATCAGAGTTGCCGCCAATATGCTTTTGAGCGATGAAGATGTTGGGCACGGTGCGCTGGTGGGTGAGGGCTGCCAGGGCATCTTGAATGGCAGCGCCGTCATCTGGTTTGTATAATTTAGGTGTTAACATAGTGATCGCTTCTTTTCTTCTTTTCTTTTATTGATTGTCGATTGTAAGATAGGAAGGAAAGGGCTAGCTAGCTAATTGTAGGACGCAGGGGGTAGTATAGGGGTGAGAGCGGGAAGTATTGAAGAGTACGAACCGATTTCATCCAATTCAAGGGCGTAATACGGGATGCCTAGTTCGTTCAGAAGGGACTTGGTGGCACTGCTGTAGGGGCAGTAGGATTTCGAGAAGACGACTGTTTATTTGTTTTATTTTATTTTATATTTTATTTTTCGATATTAGCCATTTGACTCTGCAGTAGATTATATAAGTGATATATCACATAGGAGCGTGAAAATAAGAGGAATTGGTGTTCATATAACTATCCCTATAGGAGCTAGGAGGGCACAAGCAGATTTATATAGACATACCGACGTTGTTTTGGGCAATAATGTGCTCAACCTTGGACTTTGCAGCAGACATAGTTGCGGGATTTGGGCCGGCGAGAGACCCGAGAAAGCGGCGGAAAATGGACGCTATGTTGGGCAATTGGATGAAGGCCCACGAGCCTTCGTTACTTGCGATGAAAGGAGAATAATAAAGGCTTGCTTGTAGTAGAAGAAGAAAGATCGGATGTGTGTTGGCAGGTGTGATGTTGTTGTGCTGCGTGGTGATTGTCTAAATAAGCACTGGTGAGGAGGCAGAGTTGGGCAGAATTCAGCTATTTAACTATTTAAATAAATATGCACAACACTGAAATCAGCAACATAGGCTGCCTTCCTCTATAATGTTACTATGAACTACTACTCTGTACTCTCAAAAAAAAAAAAAAAAAAAAAAAGGTGAGATACTTTACTAATAGAAGAAAAAATGAATAATGTCTGGATAACTGGAATTGATCAATTTCTCCGTGTCTGGACGACCTTATCAGCACAGGAGCACTCTGGCCGTCATGTGCCTGCAAGATGGGGATTTGTCATGCTCCGGAGTTTCTCCCCCGACGTCATTCTACACTGCCGAGATCCTCAGTATTATATTATTATTTATGTTGAGCCCAAGCTGGCAATAATTGAGAGATGATTTAAGAAGATTCCAAATGCGTATGAAGCTGCTACCCCAGCCAATGACATCCACTGAAGCCAACTGCGATTACTCAGGTTCCTACATCTTTCTTACGTAAATAGTAAACCGTCGGCTCGTCCTTAGTTACCTGTAGGCTCCCCAGAATAATAACGTTACCCTTGGACGCTGCTGGTTATGCCGAACGACCAACATGTCAAAAATCTTTCTACGCGTACCAATCCCTGAGTCAACCCTGCTCACAGCTGGTCGCACCCTGATCCCGCAAAGCAAAAAATTTCCTTCCCAGGCCGGTGATAAGGAGTAAAGAAGTCATCATAGCCTGGATCCTCCTGGCCTCTTGGCTCTATCGTCAGGTCGTTGAAATGGCGAAAAAGCCTCGCCAGCGCGATGTACATTTCGCAATATGCAAGCCTGGTTTTGAGTGATGCGATGGACCATATAATTAGTCTTTTCTGTTCTTTTTTTTCTTTTTTCTTTCTTTTTTTTTTTTTTCCTTTTCCTCTTCCTTTTCATGGAGTGAGCGGGGGTAAATTGATCCTGCTGGGAAACATACGGCAATCCCATGCATTGTCCTGAGCCCTTCGAGAACATCACCAGATACTGCTCTAAATTCTTACTGCTTGCCCTGGTGCCCAGCCATCTGGAAGGATCGAATTCATCAGGCTCTGGGAAGAGTTCTTCGTTGCGGTGCATCACCCACGAACTCATACTAACGAGTGACTGGGGACTTGTTAATGATATTTGGGAAAATCCCTGTCCAGTACACAGCTCCTTTATAGGAAGATGAGGGAAAAAGATTGACTGCAAACTTACACCTGCGGGGACTCTGTAACCATTGAATTCGGCGCCAGGTTCTGGAATGACTCGTGGAAGACGCCCAAGCATTCCATATGATAACCTGTGGTGGCCCAGTGAGTCTCATTACTTGCTAGGATTTTGCTCAGGGAAGCAAAATGGAGTCTAACCGAAAGCCTTCCTTGATAACAGCAGTCTACACCATGCAGCACAATACCTAGAAGTCAGCACTGAGTATCTGAGGATTCAGGCTACTAACCAAAAACGGCAACTTCTCCAGTTCCGCAAAAGTAGGTTCGGATTTCGGATCGGGAAACGCAGTTGTCAATTCCGTCTTCAACATCCTATATACCTCCTTGTTCACAACGGTATTGTACGCCGTGATCGTTAATGGGTTTCCTGCCATATGCGACACGACGGCGAGAGCATCATATACGTCTGCTTTCGAATATCCGATAGCTGACCTCCCCTCCTCGTTGTCTTGACCGCCCACGGCATCGACCTCCAGGAGAGTTGGGTTGAAGCACCCCTATAAAGTAAATGCCGTATAAAAGCATAATGATTAGTCGAACGGTAATTCGTCCCTGAACGAACACCCAATGTCGGAAAAACCAGAAGGAACCAGAACCTCCCTCCAAGCCCCTAGAATCAATATCAACAAAACAATACAGCAAACATGTTTATACGTACCTTGCGCGTCCCATTCTGCTCAAGCAGCCGGGTAAGCTCCCTAACTCCCCGAACCGGCACCACCCTCACCAACAACCCCATCAAGGTCGGAAACTGCTGAAACGCCCACACGAACCTCGCCACCTGCCTCGCAAGCACAAAATACTCCTTCCCAAAGTCCTCCCTCCCCAGAAACCCATACCCCTTACCATCAGATGCATACTGGGTAACAATATCCACCGACATCGCACGGAAGGCATAGTGCAGGTTTATCTTCCCTACGTTGCGCAGGCGGGTTCGAATACGTCTCTCGAGAGTCCCGGCCTTTGCTTGGATGATGGACTCGAGCTCTGGGGCATGCTTGGGGGAGAAAAGGGGAGGAGCCGCGTTGGCATGTTTGGCCTGGCAAGTTCCCAATTGGGGCTTAGTGAAGACTTTCAAACTGCCTCTTAGGAAGGTGTTGTAGAATGAATGGGGTTTGGCATAACCGTTGCCGTCGCGGTAGATCCTGTCGTAGTTTTCCGGATCGCTTAGGTGGATTTCCGCTGGGGAGATGCGGATTACAGGGCCTATCGGATGTGTAAAGATAAAAAAAGGTATGTATATATATATAAAGAGTTTAGCCTTACTTACCATATATTCGATGCAACTTCTCTATTTGTAGATATAGCCTGCCGCTGCATATCCCATTATAGTAGAAATTATAAAGGTGCGTTGCGGCTGCAAGTCGCGGGCCGGGGATATGTGACAACGGATGGAAGTATAGGCGGTAGATAACGACTGCTCCCATGTATGAGACGGCAGCAGTGGCGGATATAAGGATGATGATGGTAAATAGCCATGTTGTTGGAAAGGCGTAGTAGAGGTGCGGAGGTAGGAATTCTGAATGGATTATCGTCATGTTTCCTTGTTGGTTTTCCTGCTCGGGCAACTGGCTGGGGAAGGGGGGGGGGAGGGGGGGTGGATATGGGTACCTAGGTTGCTACTTTAGATGAGAAGCTCTTCACTTAATTAATAAATAAATCATAAATATAACTAGTATGAAGAGCTATAAAAAAAATGCCAATAGACATAGAAAGTGAATAAGAAGAGGGAAAAAAAGGACGAGGAAATGGACATACCTTTCTTTATTTACAAAAAGTCTCCTCACTGAGGGAGGTGTTACAATAGGAACAACTATCCCGCATACATTGAAAAAAGCGAACAAAGGAAGATGACAAAAAGAACGGAAGTGATATGATATGCTCCCGCATATTGATATCCCCACACAAATTAGACCAAACACACGCATGTGCGCATGTGCTGTATATATGTACACCTTATGTAGCTGAGAAAACAAACCACATGTATAGTATATAGCCCGGGTATCTCATCTGTATGCCCCTGAACAGCAACTGAACTACAGGGGCTTTAGATAATGGACGGTATAGTGCCTTTTCTATGTGCATGAGGGTAATATGTCAACGTTAAAGTCAATAAATATCAAAAGATAGGAGTGCGGGGTGGGACTACCGTCAACCCTACTCGATTTTCAGGGACACCCTCTTCTATTTCTTCAGTTACTCTATTCTTAAAACTATATAGAAAAAGGAAAGGAAAGAAAAAAAAAGGCATCGAAGGTTCAGGGATCGAGACCAAGCCAAATAGCATGATAAGTAAACCAACTAGTTGTAAAAATGTATGAAAAAAGAGAATTCTAACACGAGATTTAAAGAAGAGAGACCATTCTGTTTTATATTATATGTATATATTCCTACCCGCCCTCCTTTTCCCCGTAAATATTCCGCTAAAGTCTCTGCGATGGAAAAGGAGAAGGGGGGGGAGAAATGGGATGGGAGTGGGAACGGGAAGAGGCAATTGGTATATGAATAGGCGATAATATAGGCCCGGAAGGATTTTATGTACCAGAGCAGGATAAGATTTGAGAGAGATTTGAGAATGAGAGATAGCTAGAACAACCATTCCCGGAAATATCTCTGTAGGGGCGGGTTATTGTTGGTTTGTGACTGTTGTCGATTGTAAAAGTAGCTTGCATAACAAGAGGAAGTACATAGGTCGAAGGTAAGTAGAAATAATCAATGGAAAAAAAAATGGAAAAGAGCAAAGCTGGATGGCAGGGGCAGCGACAAGAAAGTTTGCAGTCTCAAAAGTACATGACACCAAATTCGATAAGATAGAAAAGATAAGGAAAGGACGTCCGCAATATTTTAGTTGAAGGAAAAGTCGCAGGAAGGACGAGAACAGGACGCGGGGAAAATAAGGAAAACACAAAAGAGAAAAAAAGCACCAGGAAAGGAAATAAGAGAAAGAAGCCACTTAAAAAGAAAGGGAATATAATTTAACAATTAGAAAGGAAGATATCGTAAAATTCGTGAGAATACACAGCGAGAAGAAGGGAAAAGGAGAAAAGAAAGAGAGATAAACAGCCGACGAAAAAGTTCAACGGCTTGCTCAAAGTAAAATAAAGGGGCCAAGAAAGGATTAAAAAAAGCAAGCCAAACCAACCGCAAGGACAGAGCTAGGAAAACAGAATGAAACAATAGAAAATAAACGCCGATGGGCTACGGATGAGATAAGCTTTCAAAAAATAGAAACACAAGGAAAACTCAAGGAGGGAGGGGTAATATGAGCCCCTGACCACCTTGTATATTTGAATGTACAGTACAAAGTTCTCGAAATAAATAACTAACACAATATTTCAAGAAGGTAAAAAGAAGATAAGAATAAGGTAAGGTGGCGAAGGCGGCGGGGAGTTGACACGGATTGAGGAAAGTTAATCAGCTGGCGGGAAGTTTGTTGCAAGAAATGTTGCCCAAGTCCGGAGAGGGATTTTGTGGAGGATTTCTTGTATTAATTCCCTTTATTCATTTTTTCGTTTGGCTGCATCTTAATCAGAAAGTATGTCATCTGAGCATTTCGTGGAGAACCCCGCTGTTGTTATTGTTAAATAAGGATCCATTTACATGACAATGCAACAGCCACAGCCCTTCTTCACTGGAGGGTCATCCGCAGGTGGTGGCTGCGGTTTTGGTTTTGAGATTTGCGATGGTTTCGGGGATATGGAGGATTGCACTGTTGGTATAGTTTTGTAACCACCGTGGTCCGTCCCGCCTGTGCTGGGGCGATTGTTGTTGTCCGGAGATTTCGGCGTCGGCGTTGGTGGCCACAGGGACGAAGCGGTATTACTTTCCCGAGCCTTTTCGGTATCTAGACTGGGAAGAGTGGGTTTATCAATTTCATTAATAGCCAAAGGTGCGAAATCCCGGTCATATGTGGACGGAACTCTGCCTTCTCGTTCCCACTGTTCCTGTTGGAGTCGTTTCGCGTGGGTGGGGAGAATTTGTTGGTCTGGTGGCAGGCGCGGGTCGGGCTTATACATGGTCGCCAACCACGGCGGATCTCCCTCCGGACGGTTAACTGCTGTCCGGGGACGGTCGTCCCCAGATCTGGTAGACGGACGCGGATTGGATGCACCGCTGGCGCTGTTGCTGCTACTTGCCGTCGCCTTGGGTTTCGATGTCGATGACTTGCGAGAATTCGGCAGATTGGATGTTTTACGGGCGGTACTTGTTTGTCGAGAAGTTGCTTTCGGTTTTGGAGGAGAGTTTTGCGGTGGAAAAGTGATGATGCCACTGGTGGGTCGACTCGCGGGAGGTGTTGAATTAGCTGACGTCTGCGATTGCGTTTGAGGTCGTGGTTGCCGGTCCGGTTGCTGCTGCGGTTGCGGTTGCGCTTCTGGCTCAGGAGTGTTATCAGTTGCGGTCGGTAGAGGATCGCTGATCTTGCGGGTTTTTGCATATGAAATGCTGTCATCATCTCCGCTCCCAAGCGTGTTGTTTCGTGCGCGATTTAAGGGGACTTCACGTTCTAAATGTTCTACTGGGATGGGATGAGGACTCGTCGCAAGAACCGGTATTTTGGAAGCGCTTTTCCTGAGTCCAACGGCTTGGCGATATACTTGGGAAGCGTTTTTTCCCTCCTCGTACGGATCTGCAGCGATTTCTTCAGGTAAGCGGGGGTCATCAAAGACGACCGGTTCGTTGTTATCCGGCTCTTCTTGTTCCTCATACTCAACTGGCACAGGGGATGTGATCCGCTGCCGTTTTTCTTCGCGCATCCCGGGCCACTGCTCGCCCATCTCCATCGTCCCATTGGTGGCATTGCTATGGGAATCATGGCTCCTGCCTCGTCTGCTGCTCGACTTGCTTCCGGCACGAACCTGTCTCTGGTGGAGCTGGATGCCAAATTGTTGTAATTCCTCACTCTCAATTTTAGCCAATTTGTCCCGATGGATCCAATTAGCGCTGTCCAAATCCTCGTTACCGAAGCCAACACTGTCAGCTTTTTTTTCCTCCGATTCCATCACGCTCACGGCACTCCTATTGGCTGAGTCTCGACCATATAAATCCAAAAGGCTATCTACCTCACTGCCCGTTCGACTTAGTGTTGGTTCCCGCTTTCCCAGCGCATCTACTCGACTGTGCAGTAGATAGCCCGTGTCGCCCTGTCTGGAGCCGGACCGTGATGAGTTCCGAGACCGCGTGGTTCCGTTGACTAGAGGTGGTTGATTATGCCGCTGACTAGACCTTGAGTATGTGGCGGTCGAATCGTTGGAAGTTCGTGGCTTAGAGGCAGTTGAGACATGTGCATTTTGCTGCTGGGGCTGTTGGGATATAATTAGCAAAGGGGTATTTTCCACAAGAACCAAACTTGACGTAATGGAGGAAGACATATATAAAAAGGGAGCAGATCAAGGTAGAAGAGGAATGATGTATATTTTTCAACCTATGTCAGCTCATCTGAATGGTTTCTTCGGCCGCGGCGAGGCTGGAAGGGAGCCGGAGAGACAGGGAGTCACAGCACGCCATACAAACCATGCACACCAGAACAGGCGTAATTAAGCACTCATTGAGGCATGAGACAGAGATTAAAAACGGGCAGAGACAAGAAACAATTGAGAGGGGACAGTGTCACACGTACATCTTGGCTGATTGGGACGGAGAAATCCCATGGCTGCTCTTTTCCATTGACGCTGCTTGGCGATGGCAGAGCATCTACAGAATGCGTTGCAGCAGCTTCTGCCATGCCAGCAAGCCCTATTCTATTTCTATTGTGCAACGAATCCGTTCTGGAATGAGCCAGAAAGATCTACTCCTTTTCTTTAGGGTTCCCTCCTGTTCTTCTCTCCTCTTTCTGTCTTTTTCGTTGGTTTTTATCGGTCAATCCACTCCGGCCTGTAGAGCACACTAGATTCCATTAAAGCCGGGCTCTGTGGTGGATTTGGCCAGACAAATCGCGAGGAGGCCGGGATTGTAACACAAAACAAAGCCGTGTGGAGGGACGAGAGGAGGAGGTGGGGTTATGGTAGTCGATAAAACGATGTAGCCGGTACACTCGAAATTTCACAGGAAAAGTCGAGAGAAGGAGTGCGGAGGATATCAAGGTCGGAAAGAGCAGCTCTGTCGGCGGCCCCGGGGGGGGGGGGGCGGCTTTGGTGTTGACAAGAAGATGGCAGTTCTTGAACGGCGTGGGAAAACGCGAATTGGGCAATAGATCAGCGATTAAAGGAAAGGAAAGGGTAAAACGATCGTCTCAGTACGGCCCATGTAGGAGAATTAAATTAAATGCAGCACTCTACTGAGCTGCACAGCCCAGTGTGAGCGTTGGGGGGAGAGTGAGGTATGGAAGAAGATAGATTGAAGGGGAGGAGGGAGTGAGAGCGAGGGAGGAGGTTGATGTTTTTCCTTTTGGGTGGCAGAACTAACTACAAGAATAGTAACAACTAAAAGGAGGCAACGAGTGGACCAGGGTCGGAAGAAACAGAGCACTACTAGGCACAAAAAGAGTGACGTGCCCAGAAACTGTACATACAAATAATAATACAAAGCAAGCAGAGAAGAAGAAGAAGGAAGAAGAGGGAGAAGAGAACTGGTTTTGCGCAGGAAAAAACAAAGGTGGCTGCGGTCCGTCCCCAAGCTGGAGAGTCGAAAAGCGTGAGTGCTTGGTTGTTCCTTGGTTTGTTGTTGTTGTTGGTTAAATAACACCATCATCGTTGGTTGCGTTGGGGGTTTTGCTCACTAAACCGCCCATGCTCCAAGGGCTAACTGCGAAGAGCCAGACGGGACCACCAGATGTGGGCTTGTTACAGCGGTTAGTGGCCTGTAGCCCTGCCATCGCCCTCGGAATGATTGTGCTCCCGCTGGTTATTTAAACAAGTTGGAGCCTTCGAAGCTGAACATCAGAACAAACCGTTGGTTAGTTACTCCACAGTTATATGTATGTATATTATTATCGCTCAGCATGCATGATATGTACACCCGTGGTCATATGTGCGGATTACCCTTCCTAATGATTACCTATATACCCATTTGCCGTTCAAACCACCGGGTACTGTATAGATTATATTCTCCCTAGCTCTCTCTCCTCACTATCCTATCCTTATTCCTCGAGGCCACCAAAGATCGTCAGGGGCTAATGTGATTGGCTCAGCTGCTGGGATTCTTCATATCCGGCCTGCTCCCTAGCTGTCCAGTGGGTGTGTCTGCAACTCCCTAGGTATCTTGCCACTAACCGTGCCAAGCACAACCCACTAACTACCTCTCATTAGTGAGTGCGCCCCAGCAAATATCACCATAAAGAAAAAAGTAACTTTTGTATGAGAAACTCATACAAAAGGTACTTATTGAAAACCATGAATATCTTCATCATCATTATGTACCATTTTTCAAGTGTTTTATAATTTTTTTATAATAAAAACTTGTCATTCTTCAACCTTGAAATCTGCTATGCTTTAAAAAAAAATAGTTGAAATATACTTGGAAGTGTATATTCATGTTGGTAAAAATAGAAGAAATAGGTATCTTTTATATGAGAATCGCATAGAGAAGATACCTATTTTCATTTGTATTGTTACAGTGACACTTTCTTTATACTTGGGTGCAGCAACTCCTAGAGGTACAGTGTTCTGCTAAAAAGTGTGAAACCCTCCCCTTTTACACTACGGAGTAGGCTTAATGTAATTTAGCTGAATCACTATTTAGTATTAAAAAGCCCTAATTGACCCGCCTTGGCATGATTCTTCTTCAAATTCTCAAATTCTCAATAATATCTTGTATACTAACTATCCAGCCCTAAACTATATTAAGCCTAGCGTAAAAGGGGAGGGTTTCAAACTTTTTAGCAGAACACTGTACTCCGTAGTGAGTGCGCTTGGCACGGTTTACATATAGCATACAATCTGCAAAAAGGGGAGTCCAAACCCGAACTCGAAACGACTTTTTCTCCGGTGTATTCCTCTTATTTACTTTTTTTGTTCGTGGTCCATACCAGGGTTATGAAACAGCAGAAAGCGGAGTCCAGTCCGTACTGTACTTTGGGAAAGGTTTCGGCGGCCCGAAAGTTAGTTCAACCCTGTGTTGTCTCCTGGTCAGTAATTAATTAAAAACGATCAGTTCAGTTTTCATTCTTCGCCGCTGTTTGACATTTTTCCGTCTAGAACATTATTGTAGAGATACATTTACACACACGTTTTTCTCTCCCAATGCTTCCAGAAGCACAGAAGCATAGCGTACGCCATGGATCATCCAACGGAATGGATATCTAAAAAGAGAAACTCAATGACGGTTTAGATTTTTTACTTTACCTGTTCCTTTTTTCCCTTCGAGTTAGGTTAATCCTTCAAGAAAAAAAAAAAAAAAAAAAAAAAAAAAAAAAACCATCTGGTTGTTTGACTGGCTTCTAGAGTCGTCCTTTCCCCGCCTTACCTGGTCCCATTTCTAATATTCTCATGCAACGTATGGAGTACAGAAAGAACACCTGGGGACTTTGTTCTGATTGGATCGTGGAGCAGCGCGCGGGAAAGGAAAAAGCTATAAAAAAAACCCCCCAAGAAAACCAAAGGGAAATGTATATCCGTACAACATTGGAAGAGTCTATTAATATATATCGTTATTGTTATTATCATCAGAAGAAAATGGCGCCAACCAGCGCCAATCAGGTCAGTATGGTCATTCAACAAGGGTGAAGATGTCTAATTGATGCGGGTATACGGGAGTAGAGATGAGGAAAAAGAAATCCGATCCCATGCCCTAATATGCATTCCGCTATGAGTCAAAATGTTTTCCATTTGTCGTTGTTGATGTTGATGTCTTGTCTAAAGGAAAAAGAAAAGTAACCGTGCCATGCTTACTCACTCTCTGTAGTGAGTGTGCCACAGTGTATGGAAAACCACACTGTAAAGAAAATATTTTGAATATAGTAATCTTCAAAAATTAATTAATAATCATCATCACATCTATCTATAACATAAAGATTATCTATATACTCATTAGAAGGTGTAGAATCCACTGTAAGTTAAGATTCTATAGAATTATCTTATTGTGGTTGAGTAGCTGTAGATTTTATAGATTTGATTCCAATTGATTGAAGAGTCTTATTGAATGTCTTTTTCATCTCATCTGCTCTACAGATTGCAATCTTACAATTGATATTCTTAATAGTGAGGACTTCATCTACTTGCATCTGTCTGTGAGAGAATTTGATGATCTGATGTCTATTTACTCAATAATGATCTGTAAGTTCATTCTCACAGTGCACATTCAATTCTGTCTGAATCATGCTATTCTTGAAGATCTTGTTCAATCATCTTGTCAAATCAGGTGTAAGAGTATTCTTCACATCTTCTAAGGTCTTGACTGCTGTATTAATTTAATGACATAGTTTTGTAACTGTCTCTGAGAAGATTAATTATAAGAAGACAGTTGACAGTCAATCTGCAGATAGTGAGATAAAGTGATCATATACATTATCATCATCATCATATATGTTGAGATCTGAGGCATCATCAATGATAAGAGGTCTCAATTGATTGAGAATTATATTGTGATTAACTGAATACATTTCACAGTCAGCAAAGCCAGCTCTCACAGTACCAGATTTGAATACTTATAGTCAAATACTCTTCAGATTAGTAAGGAATTGTTCACAGCAGCTTCAATATGCTTAATGATGAGTGAGTAAAAATTAATGTTCAATTGATGAATTCATATCTTAATTGCCTCTTTCTGGCTGTCATTCAATGCTCAATTCAGTGGAACCCTCATAGTCCTTGATTTCTTCCCATTGATCCTCCCATACAAGGTGGCATATGAGACTTTGAATTCTCGCGACAGAGATGTGATTTTTAATTTTGAATTGCTTTTGTACATGTCAACAGCTCTTTGCAACTGCTCCTTGGTGTAATTAGAAGATTTAGACATGATTATAATTAATGATGATTATTTGAAGATGAAGAATGAAGATATTGAAAATATTTTCTTTACAGTGTGGTTTTCCGTACGCTGTGGCGCACTCACTACAGAGAGTGAGTAAGCATGGCACGGTTATAAACTCTCTCGCGCCTGGGGATTACCCGGCTCATACTAAAAAGCGCCGATTGATAAACTTGAAGATTGAAAACTAGGATAGAGCATAAAGAAACAATGCATAATCAAAAGTACGACAGAATACGGACCAAAGCCTAGGCATGTATGCAATAGAGCGTAGGAGAAAAGAAGCACGGCAAAATGCGTAAATAAATCAAGATAAATAAATAAAAAAAGGGACACCCAACACCCCCCTATCCGCGCCTATGCGCCTCATCAAGCAACTTCAACAAATTCTGCACTGTAACAATAAGCGCTTTCCGCTGCTGCCTCGCCTCCTCAATGCCGTCGACCTCAATCCCATCCACCTTCAAAATAACCTGCATCATTATTGTCTCGCTAAGCTTGCGGTGCTCGAAATCCCGCGACTTCTGGTCCGCGGGCGGATGCTGGATATATTCGCGTATTAAAGGTTCGAGGGTCTCGTGGAAATATCTGCTGAGCAGGCTGATCTTTTCTTGCGGCGTACGGACGAGGTTGAGGTTCGGGGACGGTTTGGGAATGTGGGAGGGGCGCGGGGATGTACTGGCGGAGGACGGGGGCCGGTTGTTGTCATTGGCTAAAGGCCGGGCGGAGAGGTTGGGTGAATTGCTGGTGTAGGAGGATGGGGGGGATTGTTGGGGTGCTCGTTGTGGGTTTTGCTGTTGAGGCCGTTCTATAGGTATCGCAAAAGGTGTAGATGGGCTTTGCGCTGATTCCTGTGTGTCCTTCGCCGCGTTATTATTGGAGCGCTTCTTGTTACGTCTTTTTTTGCGGCCACCGCTGCCGCCACCCCCATTGGCAGGAGGGGGGGACGGGGATTGCTGGTTGGTGGTCTCAGGCATGTCATAGGTTGCAGGTGTCACTAAGCTCTCCTCGCTCGACGTATCTGGGAGGAAATCCGATATCACGCACATTGTTGCGGAATTCTGCTTCAGCCCGACATCCTTGGCTCGGGCGGAGTCATCTCTCAACACAGTGCCTTTGTAAAGAAGTTTTATTTGCCGTGTGTCCGGGACATCCAGTGCATTTGCGGCAGCCAATTTCACATTCCCAACCGTTATCAGTCCGTCGCCAATGGAATAAGCGGGGAAATTGAGACGGTATGATTTCCCTCTGTATTTTAGGATGATCACATCTGGCTTAGATTCATCGTCGTCGGCGATTGTAAGGGGATGTTGGTTGCTCCGCGGTTCGGTGGGGGAGTAGCTCAGGTTATGCCGTGCTCTTATATAGTCGGCGTCATCGACAGTTACGTAGCTGTAGTCATCATCGGCAACGGTTGGCGGGGAAGTGTTTCTATAGGGAGATAAGCGCTCTCTCCATGGATTCCAGCTCATCGCAAGAACGGCAAGAAGCAAGGCTAAAAGAAGGGTGACCCCGACACGGGCGGTGGGGGTTGATGTGGTAAGGAGTGGTAGAGCCTCGAAGGGCTTCGCAAGGCTATCTAGCCACAGGGGTGATGACGATGTTGGGTCAACTTTAGAAAGTGCGGTCGCAAAGCGTGATACAGCACTCCGGACGGAGTCTGGGAGATGAGTCGCCAGAGACTCCAGATATGAAGCGGATGTCGCGCTGAGGGAGGAAAAATGGAAGGAAACGAGTGTCATAGAGCGATTGTGCCAAATGGAAGAGAGGGAGGGGGGGGGGTTGCGGTGGTGCATGGCAGAGTTGGTATCCGGAGCCTCAGGTTTTTTTTTTTTTTTTTTTTTCCTTCTCTCAATGGCGGTTGACTTTTTCCTTCGGCTGATGGCGGCGGGGGTCACAGGACTGCGCTGCGAGTTGCCTGGCAGGCTGGCAAGCGCCTTTTTTTCACCTCGTTCTGGTCGCGGCAACGGGCTGCAGGGCTGCCCACCCAAGCCAAGTTCCAGAGCAATTATTCATGTTCAACATCAAACAAACACAAACTGTAGGCTACTGGGGCAAAAGAGCTCAATCACCACCAGCGCCTGCTGGTAGAAGGGCCGACCAACCGCGGGACCCCCAACACCCCCCCTCGGACCAGCTACCACAGAGTACAGTACTTCCTCTCAGTGGCTCCTCTCAGTGGCTCCTCTTAGTGGCTCCTCTCAGTGAACTCACTCCTAGGGCTCATTCTTTCAAGGGCTCACTCCTAGGGCACACTCCTAGGATGTCTCTTGGCACTGTTAAAATGTCCAGGGTATTTGTTAGGAATTTTTAAGTCCATTCTGGGATCAAACCCATGCATGTTGACCACAGCGGGGCTCACGCTCAACGGTCTCATAACCTGTAGGCTACTGGGGCAAAAGAGCTCAATCACCACCAGCGCCTGCTGGTAGAAGGGCCGACCAACCGCGGGACCCCCAACACAAACATCCCTCTGAAAACTTTTGCTGAAGTAATTGTGAATCGTTTATGTTTTGAATAATGATAGGAAGACTTGTTTTCCAATTAATTCGGCAGAGAAAAGTGATTCATCCATGGATGGTGGTCAAATGCCCATTTCGCTTTTGTCGCGTTCACCTTTGACAGTGGTCTGGTGGGCCGTGGCAAATGTCCATAACCAGGAGAGTTACCTCTTTAACTACAGCATGCCCATTTATCACTACGAGGAAGCAAGCGCACGGAGTAAATATGAATTATTATGCTGGACATACATTCTATGTTCTACAAAGCGGTACTAAATTGCCAGTCGAAACAAAACAGCAATAACGTCAGTGGCCCACAAGCGAGTGGCAGGCATCCATTCTCCCTGTCAATACAGAAGACTGATCTCCTAGATCTCTCGGCTTCAAAGTTCATATTCGCACCTGCCCTTCTGAGGGTCTCCCACCAAACCATCTCCCAAGTCCGGATGTAGTATTATTCCCTTCTTCGGGCTCCTGACCTCCGAGCCACCTAGGCCGCTGGATGCTAACATTATCCCCACGGAACCACTGTGGAGTGCTAGCCGTTTCAAAGGTGTTTCGGACCCGGTGCGCGAATGACTGGAAGAAATTCTCATCCTCTTCGTCTTCCTCTGGCGCGACTGTTGGTGTGCGAGTCGTGGAGGTAGGCCTGCCTGTTGGTCCTTGACCTTGGGTTCTTGGGCGATCTGCGGGCGGCACCCATATTGTAGGACGACTGGAAGGCGCAGATGCTGTTCGCCCATATACCGAAGCCGCCGCCTGTGACGAAAGGCCTAGAGAGCCGGGCCCACTTAGCTCCCTCTCTATCAGTTCCCGGCCTTCCCGCCAGCCCCCGACTCCAAACCCACTATCATTGAGTGTCACATTCTCATCCTCATCCTCGAGCAAACCGAAATCAAACCAGCGTTTAACTCGTCCGTACAAGTTGAATAATGTTGCGCAAACGGGTATCAATATGAAAATTGGAAAAGCGTAATCAAAGCCCTTGCCTAGTGGCGTTAGATTGATTAGGCGCCCAAGGAAGTGGTAAAAGGTGGTTTTCTTCTGGATGTCTTGAGGAAGGAATGTAAGAAAGTTGTAAGAAAGTGGAACTGTAAGCTTCGCAATTTGGCCTGCATACCAACAGGCGCTTTCGCTATAGGTGTTTCGTGGGACGAGAGCCCGGTTGCCCCAAACTCTGGCATCCGTGATGCCAACAAATGCGGCTGAGCACATGTAAAAAATCCATGCTGCAGATGCAACTTGGCCTAAGAACCCAATTGGTTCAGATTTTGTGGGATTGTGGACAACAGAAAGGGTGACAATAGAAACTCTAGGGGCAAAAGATTTGACGATTTCAGACCAGACAACACAGGCAGACGCCAATGAGAAGAAACCCGCGAGAATCAGCCTCGCAGCTGGTAGAATATGTACGTGGATATAGTATCGTACAGTGGGGGTCATATATGTGACTGACTTATTCGGAGAAGATCGAAATGAAGGAAGAGAGAATTCGAGCCTTTTGGAAGCAGAAGAATCAATAATTGATTGGGTATCAGCAGCTTCCCTAACAAGCCGCTCCCAGGCATTGGTGAAACGCGCATTTTGATGGCGCGCTCGACCCAGGCGTCTGGTGATATCTGCGAGATATCGCGTGGTGATTATGGACGGCACACTCAATCGTGAGTCGTTGGCGCTAGCAGATGCCCGAAGCCTTGATTCGGGAATACTGGTCATATCAACTAGTTCGTCAATCCATTCTTGTAAATCATGCGGAACGCCTGTTTTCCTCTTGCGTAACTGGGATACTTGAAATTCAAGGTCTTCAAGGTCAGCCATGGAATCTGTTAGGCGATCGTATATTCGAGGGGCGCGGGCTTGAAGCCTCCTAAGTTTGTTGCCAGGGTTTGCATTCCTTATTAGAGTGCGAGGGATCACCACCAAGCCATGACCCATAAGGTATATTGCAAGTGCCAATCCCCAGAAATAAGCCAGAGCCATAACGAGGGCTTTGATAGATGTGAAGTCAAACCCATTCTGTATAGATATGTAGACGAGTCCTGCGATACCAGATCCAAGAACAATCAATTGATACCGCCCATTCGAGCGCAGCGAGTATAGGATACGGTCTTTCGGAGTGCGATATCCGGAATCAACGTATTCGCCGAGCAAAGGCAAAATCACCCTAGAGGAGGGGATCAGCTTCTGTTAGCTACTCTGAAGTGGTGTGTTGTCGCAATGAATAAGGGAGTAGATGAGACGATTATCCCAAAACTCACCAAGTCATCACAAATGTCAACCAATAAGCAATCCTCCACGAAACAAGCATCACGCGCGGGGGGAGCCATATCCCCGAACTCGGTTCATCCCCCTTTGTGCTCGATGTAAGATCAATAGGAACAAGTAAAACCACGCTTGCGGGTAGGGCAAGAGCTAGAAAGACGGGGAGAGATAGGAAGGCCGGAGTCGAGCGCAATGGCAAATAATGTCTTAGGAGAAGAAGAACCAAAATCGATATGACTAGGAGAGCAATGATCATGAATATCCCTGAACCCACAGGGGCGGTACTAGATGAAGCGACTGACGGAGACATGGCTTGCAACGTCGGGTCACATTGATGGCTTTCGGCGACGAGGGGTGAGAGTACCCTATCGATGAATCATGGTAAGTCAGTCTCGTCGAAACTGGCCTCTTGTCTCCGCTAGAAAGAAGGATATGAGGGGTATTTTGACGAATCTATATATCGGAGACGAGGTCAGCACAAATTAGGTTGGGTGAAGAGAGGTTGGCTGTTTGGTGATAAACGGTTGTTGCGTAACTGCGGGTCCTAGTGACGCAGTGTTTAGTCATTCATCAGAAGCTCTGGAGCCAAGATGGACAGCACCAGATCGGGTTTAGCGTTACATTTTCCAACTCGCGGCTAAAATGTCTACTTGCACTAGTCCTATTTCAATAATCAGCAGGGGTTTTAGGCGCACTTTGCGGCAAGGAAGACCACCTGATCACGGGACGGGCACAACCAGCCTAACCTGTCTCATCGGGCATTCATAGTTACCGCTAGTAATTTTCTTTCTTGTCACCAACCCCGTTTCCAGCTTCAGCATCAAAAGGTTGGGAACAAAGCCATGCGGTGTAAGCGCCCATGTTATTATTTAATATTATTATTCAATATCTCCAAGGTTATCGCTTAATAACTATTATTGTTTCGTGACTTTACATGGGTTCTTGAGTCCAGCTACTTGGAGTCGTGCTCCTGCCATGAGAACTGCCCAATCAGAGGTTACCCAGGAATACCCTGAGTGACAGCAGCGACCTTGGCACGAGCCGGTGCGCGCTCGGCCAGTAACAACTTAACAGGGACTTGTGCCCAGGGAATTCTCCTCCACCCCAGGTCCCCAGCGAACCACTAACTTCACTAAACCTTCCACCACCTACCACCCCCAAGCCCATCTTCAACCCGTCAAGTTTCTATGGCTGAGACAGGGTTTCTAGGCCACTCCCTCACCACCGCCGCCCGTCGATCATCCCCGATCCCGCTTTGTGTTTTTGGGCCCTCTGGATCCAAAAAGCTTTTCTATTTCGTCTTCATTCTTCCAAGTGCTTGATGTGCCCCGAAACACGACCCGCAGTTGTGCCTAGAAGCTCTGTGAGGCCGTATTTGCTAGTTTGCCTGCCACATCGTTTGGCTGCGGAAGGCTAACCAGCTAAGCCCTTGTTTAACCTGTCTGGAACTCTGTCGTTTGCCTCGTTCTTCGTCCAATATCCGCTGGCCCTCCTCCTCCCCTCCCTCAGAATCTCCTCAGAGCATCCGGATTACAGCTTGACAGGCAGTCCTTTACATCCAGCATTCCTATCCTCTCTCGATACCTACCATAGCCCCGTCATCGCTCACTGCCTCGACTTCCATCTCCCGCCCCCCCTCCTCCCGGACACGCTGTACCTCTTCCCGCCCGATTCTTAGCCCTCGCAAACTGCTCTTCCTGCATTTTTTTCCCCACTCGGCTTCAACAGTACATGTACATCGTTCGACCTCAATATTGGTGGCTAGGCGAAAGCCCTCCATCCCTGAAAGTCTTCAGGCTTCAACTTGGCCGCCGTTAAACACCCTACATCCTCGCAATCTTGTGTGTTTACCGTTGACGTCGGTTGATGCTTAACCCAAAAATCCTCCTGCCGGGGAGCCTTTTAAAGGTGATCTCTGGTTCCCGATCGCAATATGAATCCCGCCAACTTTACCAATCATGGCGGTCCGATGCCGATGG